AGCAGGCTTGTGATCACAACCAGGCAGAGCTGCTGGGGGTTTCCAGTCAGCACACAAGCAGTTTGGCTGCCTTTCAAAACTGCCTACGAGCGTGCAGCAGCGACTGCTGCTCCTGCCAGCACACCAGACAGCGTTCTCTGAAGTGACACCTCAAATCAGATTCCTCGACAAGCAGCGTTCTGTGTTTTGCCCCTTATGTAACACTCCTCTCTGTGTTTTTTCTGTCCGCGTTTATTATAAACACTTACATAAGGCCATGTTCCAGCTTGGGAAAGGGCTCCTTCTGCTTGGCTGTGTCAGACTGCTGTCAAACAGCCAAAATGCAGAGCAAACCTTCCCGGAAGAGGGAGCCTGGGCCTTCACTTGCAACCACATTCACTGCTGTTTGTTAATCCTGCTATAACTCTCACAACAGGAAGCTTTCTACCCAATACAATGAAGCAGCTGCACAAGTCATAACTTAAGGGTGAATCAAAACTGACCTCAAAGCAGACAGGAGCTTTGGCAAAATATACATTGTTAACACAAGAAAAGCGTTACATGGGACACAACGCACGTTCAGAAAAGATCTTGCCATTTATTTTTCTCCTAAGGCTAACTAGACTAGTGGAACCAAAAGACTACGGCTGAAGCTGGCCTGCTAGGGGAATTATTTTTTTTTTTCTGATCACAAAAGAAACTTTCTGTGAGGGCACCTCACCCGTTTGCTCCCTCCAGCTTTTACCTAAAAATCAGCTCCCCTGGAAGCATCTGGGAAAGCCACACTGAGGGATAAAAACAAACAAACAAAGAAAAAAAACTTAGAAGGGCAGTTTGAAACTAAACGGGACAGAATCCCATATTGATGGGTCAAAAGGAGAAGAACAGGATTATTTCTTAGATAGTTACTTTCTCAGTGTGACAAAATAAGCTCTTGCAGCATCGGTAATGTAGGAGAATTTATGCTTCCATCTGCCTTTTCATTAGGATCTGGCTGGGTCTGCAGGAGCTCAGACTCCTGATCTGTATAGACTGTTTCATGCCTACACCAGCTTTTGAACAAAGGAGAGAAGCCACTGACCTCTTGTAGATGTATCCCATGACAATACCAGCTCCAATGGCAATGATTATGACCATCATGATCAGCCCCAGCACATACCCTGTGAGGAAAGGAAGGAAAGAGGCAAAATTAGAGGCCGTAAATCCAGCTACCGCATTGCTTTCAGAGCCTCAAAACAAATCCACCCCACCCAGAATTACAGGAATGGATCCAATGCATGACTGTGGGTTTGTACCTAGTGTCCCTAAGTCCTTCTTTTCTTTGGAGCTCATCTGCACTCTCTGACTGATCCCAATGACAGGCTGCACAGCGGCTGCCTCGCTCCGGGAGGGTAAGGTATCCGCCGGTTCAAACACCTGGTTGACCTCCTGAGAAATACCAACCTCTGTTGTAGGGTCTGGGGCTGCGGTAGAAGTACCATCTGTTGGGCAGAAAAGACAGACATACCAAATACCAAGCAGAGATTAGGACTTCGAAGCAGCACGTGCCTAGTGAGTAGGACAGATCTAGTCTGGCATCACTGAACTGCCTTTATCGTGCACTGACACACGCTTATTTCCTCTTGCCCTGTTGCCAGAAATCCTACCAAGACAGGAAAGAAACATACTCCTCTCCCGCTTTGCTTTGACCTGAATCCGTTTAACAGGGAGTGCAAGGTACCACCACAGACGAGACAGGAGTCAGACAGCAGAATGAAACCCAGATTCAGGGCATTAGTCCAGGGGATGCACAATGACTTCATTTAGTGCACAGATCAATATACAGGCTGCAGCTTCAATCGCGCTGAACAGACATGAACAAGGTGATCAGAACCTCCATCCCAAACCTCCCAGGAGCCCCTTTATCTCTCTTCTGCCTCAATTCTCCTGACGCACAAAGGTTTGATGGAAGCAGACTCCAGTAGGTGTGAAAACAACCAAGGGATGCTCTTCTTTCCCAATCCTTCCTTGCAGTCATGTAGCAAACTCCTTTAGCACAACAGACGGGTTAAGTCACAGCAACAGTTCGGGCAGCACATCACTGACTAGTATAACCACACCAAATTCCTCCTCAGCCAGAGCTCCAAGAAAGGATCGCAAGGAGGGATGTTCATGGCACAGTCTCTTTCCCAGCCCTGTGGATTTTTATCAACAGCCTTGAGACCTATTTTCAAGACAGCTTCCTCTTTCATGCCACAGTTTAAACAGGAGCTGTAGAACAGTAAAAGCTATGCCAGCAGAACATACCTACTACCTGTGCGGGCCAGCCCTAAACGAAAAAAACATACCTTTTGGAAATGCCATTCACAGCATGCACTCACACCTGAAAACTCCCTTCGCTTCACAGTAGGCCCTGGATCTCACCCCACAGCTCACAATACCTCTGCGTGGGTTTGTATCTGCAGCCATTTTGAGTCCTCAGTGGAATGTGAAATGGAAGTGCAGAAGGGGAGTGAGAGACAGGAAATCAGGGTCTCCTGCACTGCACAATCACTCTGCATCAGGTCAGCCAGAGAAGCTCAACTAACGAAAGCTGCAGGAGATGGCTACAATAAAAAAGTGCCCACTCTGAGACACAGAAACGGCCAGATTACTTAAACGTGCAAATGGTGAATTGGCTGAAAGGTCAGTCAACTCCCCTGATCCCAAAGCTGCAGGACTAAGCGTTTGGAGTAAAGATCTTGGCAACAACATTTGTTTTGCTTTATCTTGAGGGAAAAGCAGGCAAAAGACGAGGGAAGGAAAGTAGAGGGCGTAAGTGTGGGGGGAAGTGTTTACATGCAGGGATAGCAATCCTGAGGGACAGCGGAGTTCATAAACCTTGAGGGGGCTCAGAAATAAGCAAACAGCTCAAAAAACAAGCAGTTACTTTGGACTCAGTCAATAGAAACATCTCCTCTCCCTGGCTCAGGCTTCAGCAGGTTATTTCCCACTCTGACACACCCGACTACCCAGGAGGAATCCAGTCTTTGTGGTGTCCTTCCTTTACCGTCCTCCTCTCAATTCTCTTTTTTTCCCCAAGTTTCCCTGCCTGCAGCCTCCCCTTTCCCCCCAACTCAGCCCAGCGCTCGCTGTTTCGACAGCAGTAACCCCCACCATGCTGATGCTCTCCCAACGTCTCTTTAATTCCTAGATGTCCAGATCTCGACTTTACCCAGCGTGGCCAGAGCCCTACGGCAGGGAACGAGACAGTGCGGGGGGTCGAGGCTCTGCACAGCCCTTTCCTGGTGCTAAGGGAAGAGCTCCAGGGGTGGAGCGTGGCACGGCTGGGAGGCAGAAGTGTGCCCGCAGGGCTGTGCTTCGGGAGCAGCACGGCCGGGCGAGGGGTGGAGGGGAGCCCTGGGGACACCTGCTCCCTGTTCCCAGGGATGGGAAGTGGGGCCACCAGAGCCAGAGCTGTTTATGTGCAGGGGGGTGCTGGTGTGTGGAGAGGGTTGTTGTGTGCAGGGAGGGTGTGGGGGGTGTTGGTGTGCAAGGGGGAAGG